AAAAAAGAGAGCAATGTGTGAATGTGTGTGTGTGTGTGGGAATCTAAATTGAATTGATATTGAAACTAAATAAACTTACGTGCACTCATAGACATTCCAAAGATCCACACACTCGAAGGGATCGGGGCAAATGACATTCGAGCAGGGCTTGTTCGAGGGGCAGCCCTTTTCCAGGTTGCGTGCCATCGTGGCCTGACCCCACTGCGTGCCGTTCATGGCCGGCGGCAGGGGCAGGTGTTTGCCCTCCAGACTGCGAGGGGGGAAAGGAAAGGACATTGGTTATAAATTATGCAAATTCTATAATGGGCAGTCAATTGACAGTCCCATGGGGCTTAGCTGGGTTAATTACAATCCCATCAATAGATGAGAAATTCCCATGAATTGTTTATTTCCTATTAAGTATATATGAAGTATACGCACCGTATGTCGTCGAGGCAGCTCTTCTGGTAATCCGCATACACCTCAAATGTGCGCACGCCCGTATACTCGGCCTTGCCGCCCGCATAGACGCCCTCCTGCTTGTCGACCAGCAGCCACTGGTGGCCCACAAACTCGAACGTCTCGTTGTAGCGCCTGCCCTCGCCGCCGTCCAGCTCCAAGGTGGCCGCGGAGCCATAGCGATTGATGCGCACCACATGCCACTGGCCATCGTTGACGGCCACCGAGTTGAGCCACAGATCCTTCTCCTCGGTGCGCAGCGAGTTCAGATTGTAGCGGAAGTGCAGGCGCGCATCCTTGATCTCCAGTATGCCGTACTCGCGATTGTGCTGATCGCTCACCCGGAACAGTTCGCCGTGCTCCTCGCGCGTCCGGAAGCGCAGCTGCACCTGCGTGCTAAAGCGATCCGGCTCAAAGCTGAGCGCATACTTCACATAGCTCTGCGCCTTGAAGGTCGTCGGCACCGTGGGTATGTTGCACGCGGGTCCCGTCCAGCCGGGCCGGCAATGGCAGCGCGCCTCGGACAGCGAGCCCACGCAGTTGCCGTGCTCCCAGCAGCGTGCCGTTGCCTCCGTTTGGGCACACACCTCCTCCGTCTGCGGGCAGCCTGCCACGCTGTTGCGCGAGAGTCCTGGATGGGCCAGATCGTAGAGCTTCGAGTTGTGCACAAGATTCCTGATGCAGCCATCGAAGCCCTTCGCTGTGGGCATGTAGTGCCAGAAGTAGAGCGACTGCTCGAACTGCTCTCTGTAGAGGCCGCCCACCTGCAGCGGGGCATTCACATTCAGATACTCATTGAAGGGCGGAATCTGGCCGCGTGCCTGGCAGGAGGTGTCGTCGAACTCGGGTGGCGTGCCGTCCTCCATTTCGCTGATCTCGGCCGATTTGCAAAAGTCAACAACCATGCGCACGTCCTCCGTGTCCCAGAAGAGATCGATGCGATGCCATTCGCCGTCGTCCAGCGTCTTCTTCGTCTTCACGCGCAGCTCCAGGGTGCCAGAGCCGAAGTCGATGAGCAGCCGTGGATAGCCGCGCTCCAGCTCGAGTGCTATAAAGTCAGAGATCAGCATTTCGTCCCGCTCCGGCGGCACAATGGGTCCGTTGTAGATGATCAGGCCGTCCGGCTTGCGTGTTATGAACTCCAGGCTCAAATGCGACTGGTCGCACATCTCGAGCGGCGGATACCAGGCCCAGCCGTTACCGCGGAAGCTGCGCGTCGTCTGCTGGCAGCGCGGCCCCGTATAGCCCACCGGGCAGGAGCAGTGCGGGCCGAAGCGCGTGTCCACACAGCGTCCGCCGTTGTGGCAGGGCGTGCTGCGGCAGGACTCGGGTTTGCTGAAGTTGCGGGCGCCACAGGTGCAGTCGGCCAGCGTGTCCACGCGCACGCCCACCAGCGCCGTCTTGTTCGCATTCACCATGTAGGGCAGGGGGCTGATCTCCAGCGAGTTGGTGCAGCTGCCCTCACACATCTGGTTCTCGTAGAGGCACTCGTCGATGCCCACCATGGTTATATTGATGCCCACATCCTTCTCGATCTCCTCGCGATGCATCAGCACAATGCCGTTCAGCCGCACGGGCTTGTAGTACGGCGATCCGTGGGCAGAGAAGCGGACATCAGTGAGCGGAGGATTGCGGCGCTTCAGCTGCACGCTGAATATGTCGACATTCTCACGCTCCGTATTCAGGAGATCCGCCAGCTTGTCCCTGAACCTGTCCAGCTTGGAGCGACTCAGGCTCTGGGTGCGATAGTTCCAGACGCGTATGAAGTCCTCGTCGGAGATGCCCGACAAACGCACCGAGCCCGAGTTGATCACCGCCTCGTGTGGGATCTCGCGCACCATCACGGTCACATTGGCCGGCACATCGGTCTGGGTGTGCTTGCGGTCGTAGACCTTGAAGCGCAGATGGTAGCGGCCCTCGCGGGTGCCGGCGCGCATGGTGACCATGCCGGAGTCTTCGTCCAGCTTGAAGCGCGGATGCTCCTGCGCCTCCCAGTAGAACTTCTTGTCGGGCAGATCCCAGTCATCCAGATCGTAGACGTACACACGGCCAATGGGCGTGTCGGGCGATTGACCCTGATAGTTGTACACGAATATATCCTTGGAGCCCGGCTGCATCTTGTTGTCGTTCACATCGCCAATGATCACGGTCAGCGTGCTGGTGCCCGTCATGGCGGGCGAGCCATGGTCCTTGATCACAATGGGTATCATGTACTCCTTCTGCTGCTCGCGATCGAACGAACGCAGCGAGGATATAACAGCCATGCCGTCTCCGTTGGCGCCCTCTGTGAATGGGTAGA